CTCCTACAGCAAAAATTCAGTTCTCTCTGCCTTTCGGTATCACGGCAATTTTTGTGTATAGCAACAATTGTCTAAAATTTTTGTATATGACACCGAATTTGCTGCAGTTTGGCCAAACAAAATTAGTTTGCTGTGAGAGTCGCCAAACTCGCTCTCTCCGAGTTTGCTGCAACACCAATTGCACGCAGTTTGCCAAACAAAATTTCTGCATAACACCGACCTAACTTGCTGTCTCCACAGGCAAAAGTTTTTATCTTGATAATGTTATCAGGCAAAATGTTGCCCATGGAGACCGCATATTGCTCTTGGCAAGCAATAATTATCAGAGCTTTTATCGGGGCACCGAAATTGCGCATATGGAAACTGTGCATTTAGACATTATTTCGGTTTCAACCGAAACTGTGCATGTATGCTTTATTTCGGTTCTTACCATATGCATTATTTCGGTTTTAAACCGAAACTGTGCATGTATGCATTACTTCGTTTTTTTTCATATGCATTATTTCGCTTTTAAAACGAAAGTATGCATATGCATAATTTCGGTATTTTCTCATATGCATTATTTCGGTTTTCAACCGAAACTGTGCATGTATGCATTACTTCGGGTTTTTCATATGCATTATTTCGGTTTTCAACCGAAACTGTGCATGTATGCATACCTTCGTCTTTCACATATGCATTATTTCGGTTTTCATCCGAAACTGTGCATGTATGCTTTATCTCGGTTTTAGCCATATGCATTATTTCGGTTTTGAACTGAAATTGTGCATGCATGCATTATTTCGGTTTTTGTTATATGCATTATTTCGGTTTTCTTACGAAAGTGTGCATATGGATAATTTCGTTTTTTCTAATATGAATTATTTACTTCTACTTAGTAAGGGTTTTAATCCCTAAGCGCCGCTGAAAGCCGCCTACGCAGAGAAAAGTTCTGCGCAAAAATACGTCCGCCCTTCTTTTCCGGCAATACAGAAAGAAGAATTCTACTTAGTAAGGTTATAATCCCTAAGCGCGGCCGAAGGCCGCCTACGCAGAAAGAAGTTCTGCGCAAAAGTACTTCCGGCCCCCTTTTCCGGCAACACAGAAATGAGAATTCTACTTAGTAAGGGTTATAATCCCTAAGCGCGGCCAAAGGCCGCCTACGCAGAAAGAAGTTCTGCGCAAAAATACTTCCGGTCCCCTTTTGCGGCAACACAGAAAGGAGAATTCTACTTAGTAAGGGATATAATCCCTAAGCGCGGCCGAAGGCCGCCTACGCAGAAAGAAGTTCTGCGCAAAAGTACTTGCGGCCCCCTTTTCCGGCAACACAGAAAGGAGAATTCTACTTAGTAAGGGTTATAATCCCTAAGCGCGGCCGAAGGC